GGCTGGGTTTAGGGTGGATCAAGTTGGGCTTTGATTTTGTTCAGCCCAAATCTCAGCCACATGGGCCAACCAGGCCCACCTGCAATTTTAGGTATATTCCCATATTAATTCCAGACAAATTATATTGGTTAGACACAAAATTGCCAAATTTATACTTCAATCTTAAAAAAAATATTGGTTAACTATAGATAATAATGGTAATATATTTTGGAAGAGTTTCTTTCTTTGCTTGGTTGTTTAGTTGAATCATGTGAGAGTGAAGATTCAAATATGTGATCCGTAAGACAAAGGAAGACGATAAAAATAAATTAAATTAGTTGAATCTTTCATAATAATTTATAATTTATTTTTCAAGAAATTTAAGATCATTTTATTCTTGTCAATAATTTAATCAAAATGATACGAATTGAAATAAATGACAACAAATTTTATACCCATAGTTTCTATGGAGGTTAGATGCATTGGATGTGGTTGTGATGTCTTCAATCTACAAGTGATCGGTAGGAAAAAGAAGATGCAATAGAAAAAGGCAAAAATAAATGAATAATTTAAGACAATTAGCACAAGTGATCCAATTACAAAGCTAAAAAGTGGCGATTGAAATAAGATTAAAGTACAGAAGATCCAAATTAATATTTAAGTATAATATAGTTCAATTCAACTATAAATTCCCTTCTTGTTGGGAAGTGTTCAAAAAGGTTGAATAAATAGCATCTTTTTTGGACGCTTGCGATTGCAAATTAGGGAGGGCCAACCAAATTTATTCAAATGGTTTTCACTTTCATGATTGTCTAATACATTTTTTCTTTTCTAAATCTCTCAATTTCTCCCCCTATATATCCTTGATTATTTAAATGATGGTCATACCGTCGTATAGTTGAAAAAATATTTCCTTCTGATTGAAAGTAACATATAACTCTACGAGCCTATGTTATTAGAAAAACCTTCCTTAACCAATTCGATAAGTAGAAAAAAAAAATAGCCCGTTTATAGTAAGAGTTGTGTTAATTTTGGTAGTGTATGAATTGATATACTTAAGCTTATTAAGTAATGTTTAATTGCTCATATGTCAAATAAGTATTTATCTACCGGTACTTTGACAGTTCAATTCGATAAGTAAAAAAAAAAAAAGTAGCCCTAGTATAATAAGGTTGTGTTAATTTTGATAGCTTATGAATTGATATACTTAAGTTTATTAAGTAATGTTTAATTGCTCATACGTCAAATGAGCATTTGTCTACCGGTATTTTGACAGCTCATAGTCCACAAAGAGGGAAGCTGAAGAGAAGGGCTCTTGCACCATTGGAGCTCCGTTGGCTAGGATTAAATATTAGAGAGAAAAGTTTTTCTTTGTATTCTTATTTTGTATATTGAGATTTATAAAAGTGACTAAGTAAACGTAAACAATTATTTGGGTCGAACCACTCTAAAAACTTATGAATTCAATCAACATATCTAATCTTGTTATTTTAAGTTATCAAATAACTTCTTAATGAAAATTCCAAACAATTAAAAGAAGTAGTAGTAATTGAGTAATTGGATTCCTACTTGTATCACAAATCCAAAAAGGGGTGAGATTTATGCATGGAAAAGAAAAGCACTCCCATTAAGTTGGACCAGTTGATTGATCTGCTTGGAATCAAATCTTTTTGCAATTCAAATATCTACTTGGAACAGATTTCTTTCTTTCTTTTTTTCTCTCCACTTAGTTTTGCTTTTTTATTTTCCCTTCCTTTTGAGTTTAAGATGTGACAACTCAAATATCTCTTAGGATAATATTTTTAAAGTCATATTTTTTTTTTGTCATCGTCATTCAACATCATTAAAAGAAAGAAAAAAAAAACTGAGACTAAATTTACTAGATAAAGAAGAAGCTTTGAAAGCCCATGACATTGATAGGGTTTAAAATGCAAGACAAAGGATTGGGGCATGAAAATATCTCTCTTTTTTTCAAAAAAGAAAAATTTCCTCCAACAGATATTTCGTTTGTGGGCCCATTTCTCTCCTCAATATCAATGTGCTTATTTACTCAGTCAATGATGCTACTTATCATTTTTCCCATCACTTGTAATTTTCCAAATGAAAAAAGAGACAACTTTCAACCTTAATTATAAATGAAACATCTAGGTATAGCTAAAAGATAGGWAAAATCAAATTAAAAGGTTATCATTACATTGTTGAATAGAATTAAAGAAAAAAAATATTTTGAATTTGTCAATATTGMATAATCATTTGATGGTGTTAGTGTCCATCAACTTATATGATATAGTTTTCTTTATTGCAATAATATTCAAAATGGTAAATGATAGAAGGCTTGTATTTAGATTAGGTTAGTTGAGTAACTTTTTTAATCCAATCTAATTATTAAAAGTTCTTAATTTTTGAAACCGTATTATTAAAGTTGTAGAAAATTAACTTTACCCAACTCCAACTCCAACCAACTAAATGAAATATTTATTACGCTGAGTAAATTAAAAATGTTAAAAAAGTAGAGAAAATGCCCATATCAACCATATAA